GGGGGGCCTTCCAGGCAGAGAAAACACAGAATGCAAAGAGAGCATCTGACTGAGCCAGGAGCAAAGCCATAAACCCCTCACCTTCCCTTGGCAACAGCGCAGACATTGAAGCTTTTTTCTTGGCCCACAGGAAACCTGTGCCGCTGCACAGGCTACAGACCCATCCTCCAGGGCTTCCGCACCTTCGCCAGGGTAAGTGGGGTTTCCAACGCAGCAGTGGTCCTGCTCCTAATGCAGTAACACTCAGAAATCACAGTTGAGAGGGATGCCAACAGTCTCTGGATTACAGAGAAGAAAGATAAGAGGCTCAGCTAGCTGGTCCTCCAGCTGCAAATACCTGGCGAGGGCAGTGGGTTCTGTCATTCTTATTCCGACACTGTTTCTCATCAATAGCTTGAGGACTTTCCTTCAAGGAAAGCCTGGAGAACCGGTTCCTGGATGAGGCATGCTGTCCAAGGCCTAACTTCCCCCAGGGCATTTGGGCTTGGCAGCCTTTCTTGGAGACTAGCACACTCAGCCCATTGTATAGGTGCTGAATGTGACATGTAATAACCCAGCCCGACTCAGCACCCACTCCCCTTATCCTTTCCTTTCTGCTGCCTTCTGCACTTGGCATTCCACTGGCTTATGAAACTATTAATCAGCTCTCCAGACCGTTTGTGTCCTCTGTCAGTGTTCATAGAACTCTGAGTGAGAAGTCCTAGGCAGGGTGTACTGGCATCGCTTATATAAACACAGATACACACCTGCCACCTGGTAAGGAGGACAGAGGCTGGCCTCTCCGTTCTTGGCTTAATCTGTCCAGATTTACCTGATTCTCCAACTGGCCCAGCTTCATCCTGACTCCAAACTGTCTCATCTCAATTTGATTCAAGGTTGATCATAGATTCGCAGACTCCTGTGCTTTTCACTGATACATTATGAAAAGGAGTGTCTCAGCCACGTAACTCCAAAGGGGTGGAGATGGAGAGACTTGTAAGGATGGAAAACACCACACCCTGATGAGGACTTAGGAGATGTGGATTTAATTAAAAATGATTGAAAGCTCAGATTCAGAGTCTGCAGACCTGGGTTCAAATCCCATTTCATCACTTAACTGATGCATGACCTCAGGCAAACTTCCTTGTTTCTAAAACGGGGATTATAATAATACCTGCCTTGTAGTTTTGGTTGATAGTACTTATTGTAAACCCTTTAGAATGATGCTGGGCATATGTTCAGTATTCAATAAATGGCAACTATAAATTATGATGCTGGTACATTTCTTCCATGACTCAATATTTGACCCTTATAAGTTGTTCGGGCTTCCCTGAGAACCAGGAATTGTTGATTTTATCGATGAATTTATTTCATAGGCGGCTTCTCAAGGAGAGATACTCTAGCCAGCCCTCCTACTTTTTCAAAAGAGAAGGGCTTCTGAGTGCACAGTTATGCTCTTTCCCAGGGGTGAGCTGGTTCCTGGTTCTGTTGTACGGCAGTGCTTCCCTCAGGCTGGCTGCTGGCCGTGGAGCACAGAGCAGAGCAGAGCAGAGCAGAGTGCTCTGAGCAGCAGAAATAACCTCTGTGCAGAAGTGCACGCACATAACTAATTACCCTGAGCCTCTCTTCACAGCCTATTAATTCTTATTATACCCAGTTCTAACAAACCTGGTTATCTCGTTTTTCTGCCCATGGCACATACTAGAAAAGGGTGAGGAGAGTCTGCTAGAGGGAGGCACGCTGTTCACCGTAAGAAATG